CCTACAGCAGGGGGTTGGAACTGGGTGATCTTAAAGGTCCCCTCCAACCAAAACCATTCTGTGATTCAGCTCATAGCCGTTAATGCAGAGCCCAACTTCTGGCATCCAGAAAAAAAACAAACTGTTTTTGACCATGACATTCCTCATCAGAATTAAACAAGCTTGGAAAACCCACCAGCATAATAAGAACACATCCGAACCTCATTTTTATCCCTTACCTTTAGAAGGCCACTCAGTCATTTGCTCTGATTTAGAAATTAAAGAAGAAGCATAATAATAATTCAGACATACACCCCTGGCTGTGTTTCAAACCGTTTGGATGTGGTGCTCAGGGCCATGATTTAGCGGAGGGCTGGTAGAGTTGGGCTGGGATGGTTGGGCTGCGGTTGGACTCCATCATCTTTAAGGGCTTTTCCAACCTGAGTGATTCTATGATAGCATGTATAACATATATAGTATAATATAGCATACACAGGATGCAGAGTAAAACAGATTTTCAAGCACATGGAGGTACAGGTTTTGCTCCAGTGATTAAAATGCATCTTTCTGATGCTGTCTTTACAACTGTGGTGTTCCATACAAATGGACAGGAAGTAATTCTAGATGTCCATTCCCACACCTGGTAAGAAATTACCTTTGTACACAATTACTGAAGACCTTAAAGGAAAGCCATGAAGAAGCACAACTCTCACTGACTTAGCAGGGAAAGAAAAGTCACTGACCAGCTACAGATTAAAGCACAACCTCCTGATCCAGTCATGCATAATAACGACTGCATTTGACATGAAATGGCTCAGAATGGTCTCATATTTTAAGCTATTATTTGTCCATCCATGAGTCAGACATGACAGTTATTCAAGCCCCTTCAGAAATATAGCACAGAATGGTCTGGACTGCTAAAAGAATATTAACACACACATGTAACTATTTGATTTGCGACTGAGAAATACACAGCATAATCTCACATCACAGTTATGTCTCCACATCTGGAGATGTTTACAGATACTTCTGAGTTTCTAACTGAAGTCTAATCAGAGCTCTGTCCTTCCTCACAAGTGATTCTTCACCAAGAAAACATGGAAAACTATCCCAGCAGATACACTCACCTCCTTCTGAACACAACGTGCTGGACTCTGTGCCACTTCTGGCAGCAAACTGCACTGCACATTAACACCAATGACTTTCTTTCTCTCTAAAGACACCTAAACAGAACAGCACAAAGGCTGAGCGTCTTGGAATCAACAGAAAAGTTTCCACAGCTTCCAGAATTCAGCTCTTGTAACTTTGACTGCACTAGCAATAAGTTTGTGGGTTTTGTCTCCCTCCATAACGCATTATTTCAGCTGCATTCTGACTATTCTGTAACTAATTTTTAATAATTGTATAGATGTTCAGTGTGGTGACCATAACCTTCCCACAGTGAGCACTGATAGCTTGCAGGGAAGCAAATACAGCGTGCTTGTGTGTCTTCTGATAGAAACTGGCTTTGAAGCCTTGGAAGCTGCAGACAGGATTCTAGCAGACCCCAACCTGTCACCTTGATTTTCTTGAAGGGTAAGATGCTCATGTATGAATACACAGAGCCCAAGCTAATTCTACCAGCATGCTTTGCTGCTCATCTGCCTACAAGAAAATCCATCAATATCAAGGCTCACATCTACTTTCAGTTCCATCTAGAGAACCTCAATTCTAAGGTTCCACTAAAGCTGTTCTATCCTCTACAAAGCAAAACCGACTTTATTCTTACCAACAGCTTTAGTTACGTTTTCCTGTGTATAATTTCTCTTGTTTTCTTTCATCTGCCTCCATCTGCTCCATTCCTTTCAAGACAGTGTTGCCTTCCTAACCCATGACATTGATCCTCCTCCTTCCCCATCAGCCTGAGCTGTCTTTTGTCCACTGGCTGGAGTACAATCGTGAACATTTATAAACAATCCATAAACAACTATTAACATTCCTAGTACAGTCCAAACCTGACCTTAATTGAACACTCTGGCATATCAGCTCTTCATACTTTGCCACCACCACTTTCCTCAAGTATATCAAAAATCCCCAGTGAAGCATCAAATATACAGCTCAGATTTTTTTCCCTGTTTCTTTTTTACTATTGAACTGTTCCTCTCTTTTCTGAGATCACTGCTTGCCACCAGAAATTTCAGTGCTCTTAAGCAGGAAATGTTATCTTCCACTGTTACTGATCCGTATACCTAGTACGAAGAAAACTGCAATGAGAACAGCATGGTTTTAATGTCAGCCACAACCATTCATACAAACTAAAACCTGACTGTTAAACACAGCTCCCAGGTGCCACACCTAACAGTTTTAATAAGTAGCTGTAGTAGACAGAACATTCAGGATGCCGGTGCCTTGCAGAGAAATCACAATCACAGATGAGTTCTGAGAGATTTCCATTGAAATGTATTCTTTTTTTTTATTATTATTATTTACTTTTTTTTTTTTTAAGAAAAACATTTTTCCTCATTATTAAGCAAATCATTTTACAGTGTGCTTAACATTGGCTATCTCTACTGATACTTCTTCTGATTCACCTGAGAGATGTTCCTCTGAGTTGGGCCAAGGCAGAGGTGCCTCAGCTCACCCCTTCCATACAAGCCCTCAGCCTCTTTTTACCATTACTGTTGTTGATGTATGGCAGAATGGCAGCTGTGGGAACTAGAAACTTTACAGCTGATTCTGTGAAACTGATTGTAATCAAACATAACACTCTAAACATAAGTGAAATACAGAAGTAGTAAAAAGCCAAAGATTATTTATGAATAGAAACGTATACTGCATTGGCTTGCAGATGAACACTTGACAATATTACTTCAAATTAATGATGATTACGTGCAGCACCATGAATGACAGGTCTAATCAATACCATTCCCAATCGATACCTTTGGCCTGCAGTTTTCTGACCAGCTCCTGGTAAGCTCTAATTGAGTCACTGCTGCCAAGCTCCATGAGAACACAGGCCTACTTTCCTTTTCTTTACACACTCTGCATATTTACACATTTGGATGTTACATAATTGCAACAAGAGCATCAACTCAGTTAGTTTCTACAGGATAATCACTTGCTTAAATTTAGCCTAATGCTTTAAAACACTCTTGTAAGAAAGACCCAGAAATACACAGCCTGCCTGGGCTCATGCTCGAGGAAACCACAGCACAACAGCAACATCAACACAATGCTCAATATCACTTCACACTATTGCATAAGCAATTCTTAAAGTACTGGTAGCTTGCTAAATATTAGCTTGACTATTGTGATAAGTTACAAACTGACTAATCCCATTTCAAACAGCTCCATTCTGTGCTATCCAAAATTAAGTCCTCCACAGGTTGGTAACACTCAGTTGGTTATGACACTCACAACTTTGTAAAACAGTCTAAGGGCTACTGAATTCTGTTAAACCTCAGGCAATGTTTCCAAACTCATATACTCAAAACTTGTGAGTAAAGAGCCAGTAAAGCTCCTCATTTACTTCTCAGAGGCACGGCCTTGGAGTTGTCCCTTCTGCCTTTGCGCATGTCCCAGCTAGATGTCAAGCTGCTCTCCAGAATCATCACAGCTACAAATTTTTTACCTCAGGAAAGCTTTGTATATCCATAAGACTCAGATGTGGCACTTTCAGAAAGCCATGAACACTGCTGCACTTGAAAACACTGCTTGCAGCATCAGCTTTCACGTCTACACTGGGATAATACAAAGTACAAAAATGCACCAAAAGAAAATAAAATCTGATTTGTATGTTAGTAATGTGCAAATAGAAGTCAGTGCATAGTCCATCAAAGTTAATAGGAAGAAGGACATCACCTTCCAGGCCATGTGCATCTGGCCAACAATTTTAAAAATATCTAAGAGGGAAGAAAGATGATGCACTGCGCCCTGCCAAGTGAGTTAGCACAGCACTGGCTGCAGTGCCTCAAGTCAAAAGGAAAGAGAGGCCTGTACCAAGGAAGAGAATGGCGTGGGAGTGAGATCAAAGACTTGAAAAGAAAGCTAAAGTACATCATCAACAAAACTGTAGCCCCTAAAACAGGTTCACTCTCAGGAAATTTGCTGTCTCACAACAGGCCACTAACGCAGCACAGCACATCTGACAGCCCACAGTACCGGGTTCTTACCTCCCCTCCACACACCCAGTAATAAATATTTTGCATAGGTATTGTTTTGCGTTCATCGACTGCAAAGAATTCATTTGTATAACTTCTAGGAAGCAGCAGTTGATCAGATATGCAGATACAGTTAGTAAATAATCATAGAATGGCCTGGGTTGCAAAGGCCCCACAGCACTCATCCAGTTCCAACCCCCTGCTGTGTGCAGGTCGCCAACCAGCAGCCCAGGCTGCCCAGAGCCACATCCAGCCTGGCCTTGAATAAAACCACTCAAAGCCTACACAGAGAATATTGTCCCAGACAGCAGCTATCGCTAGGCTGTAGCATTTAACAGTCTGCAGGGATAGGCTCTATTTATAGCAAAAAAAACACCTCTTCTGTTTGTGCACACAAAAGTAAAGCCCACAAAGCAGAGCCGCACAAGCAGGCAGCATCAGACAGGGGCTAGCAGCACCTCTAGCACAGCGCAGGCCACGGGCTGGCCTCGGTTACATAACTCCAAGTCCCAACAAGAACCCTCTCCCAAACACCCAGAGACAACACAAGCTGCCGGGCAAGCTCCAGCGCCCCACAACACCGCAGGCCACGAGAAAAGCCCGTGCGGAGCTCCGCCAGCAGCCCCGGCTGTGCGCCCTGTGAGCATCGCGGGGCTCCCGATATGAGCTGGAGCAGCGCTTCCTCCTCGCGCCGCCCGGCACCGCCTGAAGCGCGGAGAGCCGAGCGTAGCGCCGGCTCGGCAGCGAGCTCCCGCAGGCGGCTCCCGCCCGCCCGCCCGCCCGCAGCCCGGTCCGCGCCGTCCCGCCAGGCCCCCGGGATCGACCCGGCTCTGTAGAGCGGGCCGGGCTGCGATCGCGCCGGCGACTCGCTGAGAGGCTCACCCCGGGGATGGATGGATGGATGGATGTTGGATGGAGGAGGCTGAGGTGTGCGGGGAGGAAGGAAGGAAGGTAGGAGCTTGGTGGTGCCCGGTCCCCCCCCAACGTGTGCGGCTGTCCGAAACGGGAAAGCGAGAGGCGGGAACTGAACCTCGTCCCTTCCACTCTACGCGCTGACTGAACCGAAGCGAGAAACCGGGGGGGCGAACGGCCGCGGCCTCCCCCCTCGGCCGCGGCGGTGGCGGCTCCGGCGTGGAGACGCTCAGGCAGCGATTGCGGGGGGGTGGAAAATGGCGCCGCCCGCGGGGGAGGGGCCGGCTTCGCCACACGGCGGCCGCGGAGCGCCGCCGTCTCCGTCTGCCGCGCGGCGGCCGCGGCCTCCCAGGGCGAGGGGTGGAGCCGAGGCGGGGCCGCCGCTGCGCCGCTTCCCTCCTCCGTCGCCGCTTCCTGCCTGCCTCCGCCGTTCCTCTCGGCCGCTTTCCCGCCCACCGCGGGCAGGTGCGGGCTGCGGGCATGGCCTGGGGGCGGGCTGGGTTCTGAACAGCCGGGAAGAGTTTGAGGAGAACGGGGTGCTCTCATCGCTGCTTGTCGTTGTACGGCTCCTGGGGGCTGCTCACTCCCCGTCCCCAACCTGTGTGCAAATCCAAACGTGCTGCTGCTTTGTAAATCCCAATAGGTCCTTACTGCAACCTAATGCATCCTGCAGCCATGCTGGTAGCTTAGTGCACTGAGGTAATTAAATATCTTCGACACGCAAAATCGTAGAATGACCAGAGGGACCTCAAGGATCACGAAGCTCCAACCCCCCTGTGCCATGCAGGGCCACCAACCTCCACATTTCACAGCAGCCCAGGCTGCCCAGGGCCCCATCCAACCTGGCCTTGAACACCTCCAGGGATGGACGGGGCATCACAGCCTCTCTGGGCAGCTGTTCCAGCACCTCACCACTCTCACAGCACACAACTTCCCCCTGACATCCAACCTCAAGCTGCCCTCCCTCAACTCCAAACCATTTCCCCTTGTCCTGCTGCCATCTCCCCCTTCCAAGAGCTGACTCCCCTCCTGTCTGCAGGCTCCCTTTAGGTACTGCAGGCTGCACTGAGGTCACCCCGCAGCTTCTCTTCTCCATGCTGAACAAGCCCAGCTCCCTCAGCCTGTCTTTGTAGTGGAGGTGCTGCAGTCCCCTGATCATCTCTGTGGCTCCTCTGGACCCTCTTCAACAGCTCCCTGTCTTTCTTGTACTGGGGCCCCCAGACCTGGACGCAGTGCTGCAGATGGGGCCTCATGATGGCAGAGCAGAGAGGGACGATCACCTCCCTGTCCCTGTTGTCCACCCCTCTTCTGCTGGAGCCCAGGATACCATTTGCTTTCTGAGCTGCAAGAGCACGCTGCTGGCTGACATTCAGTCTTTTCATCCACCAGGACCCCCAGGTCCTTCTCCGCAAGGCTGCTCTCAAGGGGTTCTTCTTCCATTCTGTATACATATCTGGGGTTACTCCAACCCATGTGCAAAACCTTGCACTTTGCTATGCTAAACCTCGTAAGGTTCCCGCAGGCCCACCTTTCAAGTTTCTTGAGGTCCCTCTGGATGGCTTCACTTCTAACATGTCACATAGGAGGGCCTATGTCTCCATTTTGTAGCAGTGCTTCTTTCTTCCTGTAGTGTCAGCTCAGAAGGCTGAGGGCACACAGAAGGCAGACACCTGCCCCCTTGGCCTGCGCGTTTCTCATTCAACCACCCTCAGTACCTCCTAGCTCTAGGGTTTGGTGCATCCAGTTCACTCATTTCAGTGGCCAGGTTTGTAGGTAGATAGGCTCATTTGTGTCATTCCATTAACTGGAATGATTAATTGTGACCAACAGAGGTGTGCTGAGTGGCTGTTAGTGCTATCTGTCTTCATGATGAGCAGAAAACTTGCTTTTCTTGAGGGCTTGCAGGGAGCTAGCAGCCAAAGGAACACTTGGCCCTGGCCATGTTTAACCCACCTTCCTGCTGCACGCTGCTCAACAGCTGTATGCTTTCTGAGAAGATTTGTTCTAAGAAATCCACAGTATAGAGACTGCATATTTTTACATGCACTGTAGTGCTTTAAGGTCTCTTTGGAGGAATAAGAGAAGGAGGAAGCTTTGACAACCACTGAAATTATCTTAATGCTCTTGGAGCCATCTGCATCCAAATTTATTTGAGTTCAACCTCTTTTCTGCCTTTTCACCTTTGCCATTCTACCTCATTCTACATTTCCTCTATTTTTTCCTTTTAACTCTGCTACCCTTCACTCCCATTCTGCTTCATGCAGACACCTGACAGTCCCTCCGCTCCTCTCCTCCTCCCACACCAGCGTTAGCAAGACAAGGCAATTCTGCTGCTCGCTGCTCTCCCTTCTGTTGCTTATGTCTATGACAGGAAAGCTGCTATCAGCCTGAGCACTGACAGCAGCAAGCAAAATGGAGCAACTAAGATAGCTGATTCTTGCATTTAAAGCAAATTTTAATTCTTACTGCAGCGAGGATGACCTGAACTTTTCCTTCCTATAATGCATTTTAAAAAACATCTGGACAACCCCAGCTAAAGGAGGATTACTGATAAGCATTTTCCTGGCCAAAAGGAAAATCAAAGTATTCTGTCAAGTTGTGAGAGATACTGCAGTCTTTCACAAGACAGCTCCAGTTTTTAGCCAAATTCTTTGATTTGCCAAAGCCTTACATTACAGGCAGTGCAGCACGTTGCTGGTCTTTCTGTGCTATGTGCCATGCATATCTTTATGTATATTGGTAAGACAGACTAATGTGAAAATACAGAAGATAGAGAAGTTACTATGCCAATTCTGCAGGGTAATTTTAATAAGGGAACTACTGTGATAATATGGTTTAACATGTCCAGTGTGAACTACATAATTTTCAGGAGTGTGAATAGAATCATAGAATCATAGAATCATAGAATCACCAAGGTTGGAAAAGACCTGAAAGCTCACCCAGTCCAACCGTTCACCTATTCCCAATAGCTCCCACTAAACCATGTCCCTCAACACAACATCCAGCCTTTCCTTGAACACCCCCAGGGTTGGTGACTCCACCACCTCCCTGGGCATCCATTGCAGTGCCTGACCACCCTTTCTGAAAAGTAATACTTCCTCATGTCCAGCCTGAATCTCCCCTGCCGTAGCTTGAAAAGAGCTAATAGAAAATAGAGCCAATAGAAAATAAATAGAGCCAATGTGACTTGGTGAGGTGCCTGAAAAAGTACTGAAAGAACTTTCACTGATGAATTTTTGTTTTTGTGCAAAACGCTTTTGCCCGCAGTGAGAGGTTACTGGTTCAGAAGTGGTTTGAGCTAATGCTAATGATGGGCTGGGCTGATGAAAGAACATTCCTTCCGTTGCTGCGTGTATAGGTGATAACTTCTGGCTGAGCAGCTGAGCAAGGCAGGTATTATTGTGGTTGTGAAATCTCTAATCAGTACAAAATACAATGAGCAGAACTGTAGAATCATAGAATTGGTCAGGTTGGAAACAACCTTAGAGGTCATCGAGTCCAAGCTAACCAAAGAAGCAGCAGAAGACAGAGGCAAATAGGACTGAGGAGCACAATGTGCCTTACAGTACTGTGTGCTTGTGTAGTTGGTAAAAGTGCCAGGGCTGCCCCCTCACAAGTCTGAATCCTTACAGAGCTTCACAGATGAGAGAAAAACCTGATCAAGCTTTGTTATGTATTACACAGAACCAAAAAAGGGCACAAATAAAATCATATTCCTTTTCTGGTCACCCTTCAGATCCTAAGGTCATTGCAAACTGTCTCAGCACTTTTACAGACTGGACTCTGCTCAAACCATAATGCTTACAAAGTTCTGCTTTGAATAGGCCTGATTTTCTCTGTCATTTGTTTTCACTTTTATTTCTCTGCACAACATAAGAAGTCCGAAAAAGATTTTATTTTCCCCTACATAGCGTATAATTTACATCCATCATCCCAGGAGGTCAGTGCCACTGGGGTGCCATTTAAGTACAATGAATATAAAGTAATGAAGCTCTTGCTGGAGTGGATGGCCGCAGATCTTGGGGAAAGAGAAAAAGTTTCCAAAGCATGTGGAGAAAACACGACGGGAGACCGAGTGAATTCATCACACCACAAAAATGTCTCCATCCTGTCGACAAAGTCATTAAAGGAAAATGAACCATTGTTACTTTAGACGCTTGCATTCCTTTGGCATAATAACTTCAGTGTAGAAGCATTGGTGCAAAGAGAATTTGCACACACCAGAAAAAAAAAAAAAAAAGATCTGTTTAAAAAAAAGAACGTATCCAGATTATGTAATGAAAGAAATCCTCCGAGCTCCAAAGAAGAGATGGAGCCTCTGCAGAAGCCACAACTAATAGGGAACCGTATGCAGCGGTCCAGGGTGGTTCTTTTCCTCCTGCCAACAAGTCAAAGGGAATGCCAGCACAGGCAATTCTTTTCTGATAACCCACAAATGGTATTCTCTTTAATTACACGAATGTTTCTATCCCCACTTGATCCATAGCCATGCTGGTTTTTAAGATCCTTTCCAGAGATTTCCCCCGTCCCGTTTCCCTTTTCAAATTCATTTACTTTCAATAATTTTTCAGTCTCCATAAAAGCAATCTGCGAGGAATGCAGGGATTAGAAAAGTTTGCTGTGTTCAATTTTATGTAATGCCCTGGCAAAGGGTGTCCAAATGAGAGACAGTGTCACGTGCATACAGTAAATCATAGCATATACCCATTTCAAATATGTTGTTCCTCTGTAGGCCTGCCACCAGGAAACACCACTTTAAAGCAAACTGTCATGCAACCCCTGGAAGAAGAGATGAAGTTCAAGAGCTGCAGCAAAAATCCTCTATTTTAACTTATTTGGTGGTATGGCAAAGTTGTATTTGGTATGCAAGTTAAAACCAAAACAGGCTAATAGATTTAGCAACTTTATTGTCAAAACTGTTCAGTAATACAATACATAAAAAGTGCTTTCAGTTGCTTTAATTTTTGGCTTAATAGAAAGGCACTACGTTGATTTAAGGGAATGCTGAAAAGGAAATCTGTCCTTTATTTATTTTTTGTGACTGCACTGGAACAGGGAACTGAGCAGAGAACTGCTGAGGAAACGTATGCCAGCAAGCACCAAATTGTACCTGTTAATTACAACAAATACGCTTGCAGACAGCAGCAAGCATGCTATTTATCCATCAATTACAAGCACTGATGTGTGGGGAAA